GGTGACAACTTTGTTCATATCATTTTCCGCGAGCGCGCAAACGCTACGCGAAGCATTATATTTTTCGAGATGTGACAATCTCTACCGTGGGTTTAACCCGACTTCTCACATTCTTTATTATGTGATACCTACAAAGTAATGCATAAGAAGCAGGAAATACCTTTGCAACTGAATTTATTAATGCAGTATCGCGATTGATAACAATCACTTTAGGCATCTCTTCTTGGTCATTCAACATTGCCTGACACATCTCTATGACCCAAGTAACATTCTCCAATTTTTCACTCTCTAAAAATGCAAACGACAGAATATATCTTCTCAGTAGATGTAACACCAACCATCTCCATGAATGGAAGTATGTAATTGTTGGTCTTATACGTTGAATCAATTACGAGCATAATAGGAAACATGTTAACAACTCGATGAAATCAGGATGAGTCCAAAATATCTTTAACAGCTACTCCATCCTCGCATGTTCCGTACCTATCCCGCTCGATGCCTTGTTAGTTTGGTACCGAATATTGTACATTTTCTTGATATTTGATATTTTCTGATTTTTTACGTTTCAAAGTTGCAAGTATATTTTTCAGTTGAGCCAAATCCAATGTCATGTCTGCAACATATTCCTTCTCTTTCGGCACGAGGTGACACACAATTGGATGGCCAAATAACTTTTTACACAAGTCATGGTTATGTAAACCACATATGAAATTAAATTCCCATTTCATGTTTGCCAACATAAAACCACACAACATATAGGGATACTCACATTTTTTTGAACCAGTGTCATCCTGTTTAAAATTCTGGAGAGAAGGTTTATATTTCCCATTTCTTCCGCACACTATTTTTCACAAATGTACGTCTTCTATCCGAACCATTATGAGACCTTCCGATTACCACACTAAATCTTAGTACGGAGGCATCCGTACAAATAAATTGAAGCATGTGATCACGAAATTCAAACTCTTGCCCATTTTTAAATTGGTTGTCGCCTTCACAATAACACCTTTTGCATTCAGAGACATAACATATTTGGGAGAAACATCTGGGTGCACCATATCTAATAAAAACAATTATAATAAAACACTTAATAAGTGTTAATGTTGTAAACAAAACTGAAAGAATGATAACAAACAAATACTAGAAATGTATTTTTGGATGAGTTCATACTCGTTCCGGAAATGTATCTCCGGAATAAGCGCATATTTTTTAGACTGAGAACAAGATAAATGTGAGCAACGGGGCTTGAAATAAATGATTTTTATATAAAATTCAACATTCTTTTACTCTCTTTGATGTGAAGAAATACAAGATTGAAGAATTGAAGTGAAAATATGGATGAAGAATGAAAGGTTTATTGGTAAAGATTAGAGTGAAAAACAAGTATGACTATGTGATCATGCAGTTCAATGATTTATCAAATTATTTCGGAGATGCATCTCCAAAAACACCACACATGCAAATATCACAAAATTTTTAAAATTTCGTTCAAAACATTAGACAATTTCAATTTTCTACATATAATGCCATAAGAAATCTTCTAAGCACATATAATAAATGTCAATTGAAACACCAATAAGCAATAAAAAAATTATTTCAATGCTCTATTGGTGATGGGTGTCATTCTATATAAACTATTTCAATGCTCTATTCCTTCTCTTTCGGCACGAGGTGACACACAATTGGATGGCCAAATAACTTTTTACGCAAATCATGGTTATGTAAACCACATATGAAATTAAATTCCCATTTCATGTTTGCCAACATAAAACCACACAACATATAGGGATACTCACATTTTTTTGAACCAGTGTCATCCTGTTTAAAATTCTGGAGAGAAGGTTTATATTTCCCATTTCTTCCGCACACTATTTTTCACAAATGTACGTCTTCTATCCGAACCATTATGAGACCTTCCGATTACCACACTAAATCCTAGTACGGAGGCATCCGTACAAATAAATTGAAGCATGTGATCACGAAATTCAAACTCTTGCCCATTTTTAAATTGGTTGTCGCCTTCACAATAACACCTTTTGCATTCAGAGACATAACATATTTGGGAGAAACATCTGGGTGCACCATATCTAATAAAAACAATTATAATAAAACACTTAATAAGTGCTAATGTTGTAAACAAAACTGAAAGAATGATAACAAACAGATACTAGAAATGTATTTTTGGATGAGTTCATACTCGTTCCGGAAATGTATCTCCGGAATAAGCGCATATTTTTCAGACTGAGAACAAGATAAATGTGAGCAACGGGGCTTGAAATAAATGATTTTTATATAAAATTCAACATTCTTTTACTCTCTTTGATGTGAAGAAACACAAGATTGAAGAATTGAAGTGAAAATATGGACGAAGAATGAAAGGTTTATTGGTAAAGATTAGAGTGAAAAACAAGTATGACTATGTGATCATGCAGTTCAATGATTTATCAAATTATTTCGGAGATGCATCTCCAAAAACACCAGACATGCAAATATCACAAATTTTTTAAAATTCCGTTCAAAACATCAGACAATTTCAGTTTTCTACATATAATGCCATAAGAAATCTTATAAGCACATATAATAAATGTCAATTGAAACACCAATAAGCAATAAAAAAATTATTTCAATGCTCTATTGGTGAGGGGTGTCATTCTATATAAACTATTTCAATGCTCTATTCCTTCTCTTTCGGCACGAGGTGACACACAATTGGATGGCCAAATAACTTTTTACACAAGTCATGGTTATGTAAACCACATATGAAATTAAATTCCCATTTCATGTTTGCCAACATAAAACCACACAACATATAGGGATACTCACATTTTTTTGAACCAGTGTCATCCTGTTTAAAATTCTGGAGAGAAGGTTTATATTTCCCATTTCTTCCGCACACTATTTTTCACAAATGTACGTCTTCTATCTGAACCATTATGAGACCTTCCGATTACCACACTAAATCCTAGTACGGAGGCATCCGTACAAATAAATTGAAGCATGTGATCACGGAATTCAAACTCTTGCCCATTTTTAAATTGGTTGTCGCCTTCACAATAACACCTTTTGCATTCAGAGACATAACATATTTGGGAGAAACATCTGGGTGCACCATATCTAATAAAAACAATTATAATAAAACACTTAATAAGTGCTAATGTTGTAAACAAAACTGAAAGAATGATAACAAACAAATACTAGAAATGTATTTTTGGATGAGTTCATACTCGTTCCGGAAATGTATCTCCGGAATAAGCGCATATTTTTTAGACTGAGAACAAGATAAATGTGAGCAACGGGGCTTGAAATAAATGATTTTTATATAAAATTCAACATTCTTTTACTCTCTTTGATGTGAAGAAACACTAGATTGAAGAATTGAAGTGAAAATATGGACGAAGAATGAAAGGTTTATTGGTAAAGATTAGAGTGAAAAACAAGTATGACTATGTGATCATGCAGTTCAATGATTTATCAAATTATTTCGGAGATGCATCTCCAAAAACATCAGACATTCAAATATCACAAATTTTTTAAAATTCCGTCCAAAACATCAGACAATTTCAGTTTTCTACATATAATGCCATAAGAAATATTCTAAGCACATATAATAAATGTCAATTGAAACACCAATAAGCAATAAATTTATAAAAAATTTATTTCAATGCTCTATTGGTGAGGGGTGTCATTCTATATAAACTATTTCAATGCTCTATTGCCAACCAATATGGGACTTTAGGACCCCTCACGCCCAACACACTTTTTGGGACACACTTTTTGGGCTTGGTGCGTGGATTTAAACGGTGGTGCCCAAGGTCCGATCAATTGACTCTAAACAGTGGGTTGCCCAAGGTCCGATCGATAGGCTCTGATACCATATTAGAGTTTGACCTAACACTACCCTACAAAATCGGTTGGTAAGGTGAGGGGTCCCACTCTATATAAACTATTTCAATGCTCTATCTCCAACCAATGTGGGACTTTAGGATCTTCCTAATAACTCATCACAAATAATCGGCATTGATTTCACTTTATTGATTAAATATTCAGGATTTTTGAAAAAAAGTGGAATCCATTACTTTTTTTAAAATTTTTTTAATTCAAAATTCACTCACAATTATAATAATATAAATATAGATGATTTGATGACTCTAAATGTTATTTTTTCAAGAAAAGGTATTTTTATAAAATAAACTATATTTATTTAATATTTTAACAATATTATGTTATGTTTTAGATATTTAAATATTATTTTATTATTATTATTATTTTTAAATATAATCAGATTTATAATGAGGAACGAATATTTTTTAAATAAAGGTAGTCAATTATTATTTGAATATAGTAATTAGATTCATGAATTTGTTAGTTTGAGAGATACTGTGGTAATAGTAAATCAATATATATGTTATTAATGCATACATTTCTTGTTTTAAAGATTTTATGCTATCACAGTTAAGGAGTATAGTTTATTTTATTATTTAAATTACAAATTTATTATTCATTATTTATTATTTTATTGTTTTTTAAGGTTATTGGTAAAATACCAACCAACAATTCAACTAATTATTTTTATTATCATGGTAAAAATAACAAACGGCCAGCGTACAATCATTGTATCATCACCATCGGTTAATACTTAATACGCTATTTATGAATGTGTCTGCAATTTCATCCATTGAATTCGATTAAATTTGAGATTTTTATTTACCTAAATTAAAAATGTCTAATTCTGCCAATGAAACAAAAATAATTTTCTTTTTTCATAAAAATAAAAAAAGAAAAGAAAAACATATAAGACGCCATGTTGGACTGAATTGACCTCTGAATAAAGACTCATTTGATTTGATTTGTTTTTTCATTCAGTCTTTATTCATTCTTCAACCAATCCATTCCCGCATCGCACCTAACGTTGTTCTCCGGCCACCGTCTACGACGGAGCGCCGAAATCTCCCTCGTCGAATCTGTTAACTCGGTGATTGTGAAACTTTAGGCAAACATCCATGGATAGAGTCTTGAACAAGCTCCGCAATTTGGATGCGTACCCTAAAGTCAATGAAGATTTTTATAACCGCACGCTCGCCGGCGGGGTCGTCACCGTTGTATCTGTCGCCGTTATGCTTCTCCTTTTCTTTTCCGAGCTAAGTATGCCCCTTTCTTTCTCCTTTTTGTTTAAATGTAATTAATTTGAATGATTTTTGTTTGTAACCTCGTCGGTAAAGGTCGTAAATTTAAGAGGGGTAACCTGAATTCGGTGGGTTTTTTTCCCTCTATTATTCTTTGCAATTCTGTTGTTTATTTAGCTGAATTTGAAGTGCTTTTGTTTTTTCATGGAAAGGGAACTAATTAAAGCAGAAAAAAAATCTTTTTGGGTTTAATGGAAGTTTAATTCTTCCTCTCTATTTCAATCCCCATTAGAAATTTGGTGCTCTCTGTCTGTTATACCAGTTTAATGGAAATTAATGATTGCATGTGCAAACATGCAAGACAATGAGGCATTTGATTCAATTTTTTAATGATGTAATTCATGGCACGTTAGGGTTTTTCTTAAGGATAGTTTTGTTTGTGCTTTTGTTTGCATGCATTGATCCACCTTGTGGTGAAAAAATTGTTAATAATTTGTGATTAGTTTTATTCACTATTGTTGGACATATCAAACTTAACCAGCCCTGTTTTGATTCTAGTGCTATTGCTACCTTTCTATCCACTTGAGCATTTTTTTCTGGAATTATCATATGCATATCATGGGATTGTTATACTATGTACATGGCTATTTCTTTACTACTTTTTTTTAAGGATAAAAGGTGTAGATCCGATCTCACGAGAGTGATGTTAAATGAAACATAGTTAAATAATGCTTTCTTTTGTCTGAATCATTACCTTGCTGCCTATATATAAGACTATTTTTTTTCTCATCAATCTTCGATAACTTTATTCGTTACCTTTTGATTACTGTTAGAAAATTAGTGCTCTCTAGAAGGCACTGAGAGGTTTGATTCAATCTTTTAATGATGCAATTCATGGCTAGTTAGGGATTTCCTCAAGGATATGTTTGTTGTGGTGTGTTGTGCCTTCATTTGTATACGTTGATTTATATCATAAAGAAAAGATTGCCGAAATTACAGACGCTTTTATTTAACATGTAACTAATATGCTCTTGCCTCTAATTCTAGTGCTACCGCTACATTTTTATCGACTTGAGCATATTTTTATAGAATCAGCATATCAATATGATGGGGTCATTATTAATGTGGCCGTGGCTATTTACTTAATATTTGTTTTAAGGATAAAATTGCTAGTCCCAATCTCATGATAGTATTCTTAAATGAAACATAGTCAGCTAAGGCTTTCTTTTGTCTGAATCATTACCTTGCTGTATATATATGTGACTTTTGTCTTTCTCATTAAACTTCAATAACTTTATCTGTTGCATTTTGATTGCAGGATTATATCTCTACACTGTTACAGAGAGTAAGCTTTTGGTGGATACTTCAAGGGGAGAAACCTTGAACATCAATGTAATCATCATTGTTATAATTGTACTGCAATATTAATAGTTTTGCTTAGCTCTTCATATTCCAAGTCTAGTCTGTGGTCCATATCATGATTCATGGGTTGTTCAATATTATTTTGCCATAAATTTATTAGTTTGGTGATTTATTGTTTAGCCAAACTGTGTAAGTTCCATTATCCCAAAATTGCTTTCCTTTCGGACATTTCTGTAAGGTTTTGATTGTTCTCCTAATTTGTTATATCCTTTTTGTTTGCGTCTTTGCACTAGCTTTAAACCCCGACTCTACATTTTCAGAGTAAAAGTTTAATTATTTTCTCCCCTTTGAAATGCAGTTTGATGTCACTTTTCCTTCTGTTCGATGTTCAATACTCAGTTTAGACACAATGGATATTAGTGGCGAGCGGCATCATGATATAGTATGTACTGTTCAACCTTTATTTTTATCAATTAAAATTTCAGTTCCGATGCATATACATACTTTTAGGCTCATTGCTGATTGCTTTTCATCAATTGACTCCGTTTCTTTTTGCAGCTACATAATATAATGAAACAAAGAATTGATGCTAATGGTAATGTGATAGAAGCTAGGAAGGAAGGAATTGGTGCACCCAAGGTTAGCTTAAATACTCAGGCAGCTTTTTACAATGCCGCAGTTGCTTGCTCTGTGCTTGCTGGATAACTTATTTATTTTATTTATTTATTTTTATCGTATTTTATTGTCAAATTACTTTTGAAATGTTTATGATTTATGTTTAAAAGTTACAACATATATCCTGCGTGTGTTCAACTCAATATCTATGTTCAGAAGAGTGCAACTGCATACTGAGGAGTTCTTCGAACATGCCAAATTATAATTCACGTTAACTTTGAACATTGGGTGCTAAATTGCCTTCAAGAGCTAACAAGTGTAGCAAAGATAAGAATTTTTAGGTGAGCACGTGGATATACTAGAAAATATAGGATTAGTAACAAATGCATGAGGTGAAAGCTGGAGTAGTACCTATTGAGGAGATAAACGGGGCTTTGCTAAAGGGGGTCTGGTCATGTGAGAAAAATATCAAGTCGATAGAGTGAAAAGTTAATCAAATGGAAAGTAGTCCAACCGAAAGGTGTGGAGAAAGTCTAAAGAAAACTTCAAGAGAAATCATTATAAAGTACTGTACCCTAAATGTTTTTCATGAGAATTTGATTTGTGGAGTTTTGTTGATCCAAGAAACATGAATTGATCCATTTATATAGCAGATCATGCTGTGAGATAATATTTATTTGATGTTGAATTTTAATTCAATTTAAGATGAATTATTGTTAAAGAGAAATTCTATCACGTTTTTCTGAGAGTTTTGTAGTTTTTGGCCCCCTGGTTTTGGGTATGTACTGGTTCTCAGTTGAATAAATTGCGGCTATCAAATTTGGTTACCTTACTGTGGTGGGCATAATTGTGATTTAATTCTTAGGTTAATAATAGTATTGAAGAACCCTATCAGTTATGTGTTAGTTGTTGCATCAAATTGTTTGGAAATTAAAGGCCCCATGCTTCTGATTCTTTTATCCATAAGGATGACTGGTAAGTGGGGGGAAATGGAAAGGAAGATACTAGAATAAAGGTTTTGTCCAGTTAATTTTTCTTGTTTGCTATCAGCTTTGGATAATCTTCAAATATTCAATGTGAATGAATGGAGTTTAGTATAAGCATTAGCTTTCTTATCTAGGAAAGGAATATAATATGGATGCTAACATAATTGTTGCACAATCAATTAAGCTTTTGCACACTCTACTTGTATAAGAAATTTACTATTTTTGTTTGTTGTATGTTTTTCCTATTGCAGATTGAAAGACCCTTACAAAAACATGGTGGCAGACTTGAACATGATGAAAAATATTGTGGTTCATGCTTTGGTGCAGAAGAGGTACATTTGATCGAGTTTGTTATCGTAAAATTTGCTCTAGTTTTCTTATTATTTTGTAACTACGGAAAATGTTGAGCATCGTCAAGACTTATAGGGGGGTGCAGTGACAGAATTTGATGAGCTTTGACTATAAGAAATTCGTTTGGGGATCCAAATAGGATATTCAAAAGGTAGAAATTTCCCTTGCGATGCTAGGGGTTTTTAATGACTTGTCAGCAAGCGATGCTAAAAAGCTAACACTTCATGGAAGGAAGATGTTATCAAACAATAATATATTGTGAATATTCATTAAAAGAGAGTGTGTGTTAATCTATTCTTGAGTTTGGACATAAAATGGAAAATGAGATTTGACTATAATATAAGAAGTTCTTTTGGGAATCTAAACAAGGTATTCAAAAGGTAGAAATTTCCTTTGAGATGCTAGGGGTTTTTAATGACTTGGTGAAAAGTGATGCCAAAAAGCTCACGCCTCATTGAAGAAAGATGTTATCAAACAATAAGACATTTAACCGTGAATATTTGTTAACAGAGAATGTGTCATTGACAGTTTGCTTGTTGCTATTTTCATTTTCACCTGTATGTCTTATTTTCCTTTTTAAAGAGCTAATAGATTGTATAAAGAACTGTGTACAGGAGGTACTCCAATCCAATACAATCAAATAAAAGGTGCTCATGTTTGGTTTGTTGAAAAATAGAAAGAAATAATATTTCTTTGAACCTCTTAAGCACTGGTTATCTTCATTGCTGCTTTTATCAGTAACAATAATAATAGCAATGGTAAATCATAATAAGACTGATTTTGTTAAATATGCAGATATTGTAGACAACTTTGGGCTGATGCAAATGTCCATAGGGTTACTTGGTTGGAATACCAATGCTAGAATGTTTGGTTTGACTGACATTGTTGCTTTTGTTTTTGTGTGATTTGAGAATCTATGCTTACTAATTTTTATGAGCAGCTATCATCATGCTTAAGTTTAATTTGACTTTTATCATCAATGCTTTCATTTTTGCTGTGCAATATGCTTGGGAGCTTGTACTATTTTGTTCGTATTTGTGCTCTTTCATTTTGGTACAACTTACACTCCAATTGTTTATTAATTTCTTACATGTCCATGCTCTTTCTCTCATGCAGTCAGATGACCACTGTTGTAATAATTGTGAAGAGGTTCGCGAGGCATATAGGAAGAAGGGCTGGGCAATGTCAAATATGGATTTGATTGATCAGGTTGGCTTGACACTCTCATTGCATTACCTAATCTATACTGCTTGTTTTATGTGAATTTAAATGCCACATTTATGAGACACTGATAGAATTAGAGTTTGACCTAACTCAATCCTACAAAACCGGTTGGTAAGGTGAGGAGTGCCACTTTATATAAACTCGTTGTAGTTTGTATCTTTAACCAATGTGAGACTTGGATTTTTCCCAATACACCCCTCATGCCCAACACTTTTTAGGCTTGGTGCGCATATATAAATGGTGGGTGACCCAAATCGATAGACTCATGATACCATGATAGAATTAGAGTTTGGCCTAACTCAACCCTACAAAACCAGTTGGTAAGGTGAGGGGTGCCACTCTATATAAATTTTTTGTAGTTTGTATCTTTAACCAACGTGGGACTTGGGTTTTTCCCAATAGACAGTAGGCATTTTATTTATGTTGTTATTGAAGCTTGTTTATTTGGAGAGGCTAAAAACAGCAAGGAGAAGGCTTCATACTAGCTTTGCTGCATCAATTTTTTAGTTGTTGTATTCTGATTAGTTCAATTGTTAAGTCTCTTTTGCATTTTAGTGAATTCACTCTCCTATCCAAAAAATAAAAAATTTCCCAACAATACAAATGACTCATTTATTTTTCGGTATGTCTGTAATTTCTAGACTATTGAAATCATCTAATTTTAGAGCATTTGGAAACCCAACATTATTAGCTTTCTAACAATTTGATTTTGCTTTTAGTGTCAAAGAGAGGGTTTTGTGCAGAAGGTAAAGGATGAAGAAGGTGAAGGATGCAATATTCATGGATCTCTTGAAGTGAATAAAGTGGCAGGAAATTTCCATTTTGCGACCGGGCAAAGCTTTCTTCAGTCAGCTATCTTTCTGGCTGATCTGCTTGCTTTGCAGGATAATCATTATAATGTAAGACTGAACTGGATTTCTAACATTTATTATTTCAGTTATGTATAATGTGAAACTTCAATAAATTTAGAATGTTTCCTCCTTTGCTTGTAATTATATGATTGATTTTCAACATATGGTGCATGATGCAGATAAGCCATAAGATCAACAGTTTAAGTTTTGGTCACCATTACCCCGGATTGGTTAATCCTCTTGATGGGTAATTTTCTTAATTCTCCCAAAGTATCCTTTATTTTGTGGTTACAACGATGGCATGTAGCATAATTGTTTTCGCCTACCACTATACATATTAGTAACATATTTGATGACTCAGCCATTACTTGATGGATAGTGTGTGGTCAAATTCCGATCTTTAACTTTATTCAAGCATATTTGTTGAGAAATGAATAATAGTTTGGTGCAGCCGAACCTTCAATTCAAATTGTTGGGCTCCAAAACTAACCCTTAACTCAGCTACAACATAATATTTGTTCTTCCCTTCCCATTCTCTCCACATTTTAGGCGTTATATCATTTTGAAAGTGTAACCTCTAAAAATTAAAAGCAGAGTTATATTTAGGTTTTCATAATAGAGTATGTTTGAGGGCAATGTCTAACATGCACAAGTGACTTAAATGCTGCACCGTACAAGGGGAAGAAATGGGACTAAATTTGGTGCAAAGGGTGTACCATAGCCTTTATCTGACTGTAAAAAATGGTCTTGTGTATTGCACCATTTAAGTCACTTGTGAATGTTAGACATTGCCATGTTTGAGTATTAAATGCAAATTACATGGAGGGGAAAGTAACTTAGTCATAGCTATAATGAGCCTAAAATTTGAAGCAACTAGATTTCATATATACATAAAACATTTCAAGCACCAATTATACTGCAGGTTTAAGCTGTTAGGGAAAGGAAGAAGATTGGCTTTGTTTCTTTAACATAACCTCATCACCTAAGGAGCCCTTTGACCTTGAAATGTAGACATATAAAGCCCACTTAACCTTGTACTGAACTACATATTTTTTGAAGAATGGTGGGTTACTAGGATCACATCTGAGTATTTTGGGCCTAGCGCCTAACTATCGAGTTTGGTATGCAGATAGTACAGTAGCTCATTAGTGGATCTAGGATAGACTATCATCTATCTAATATTTTTGGACATAACTCAACCCCACTAAATTAACTCTAGAGTTGTGGATTGTCTAGGCTTTATATAAACTCTACTTGTGTTTCTCTTAATAATTCCTTATTGCTGCAATCACTTCGGTGAAACTCTTGACAAACAGCAAATTGTTAATAATTACATCTATTTGAACCGAGTGCAAAGTTATTTTGTCATGTATTTTTTTCCAACCATTTTAATTATATTTCTTCTTTTCTCTTATTGTTTTGCAGGGTAAAATGGTTCCAAGGAACTAGTCATGGCATGTACCAGTATTTCATAAAGGTCGGTAGTATCAGGATATATTTCCTATTGTTTTGGTGAATATACGACTGGGTTTATATTTTCTGTATACTCTTTGCAGGTTGTCCCTACAGTATACACAGACATCAGGGGTCGAGTTATACATTCAAATCAGGTATTGTTAAATGTCACACATACTTTCATTTCATGTTGTTCATTAGTTGGATAATATCTAAGCACATCATAAATGTTATTGCACAGTATTCTGTGACTGAGCATTTCAAGAGTTCAGAGCTGGGTGCTGCAGTTCCTGGGGTTTTCTTCTTCTATGACATATCACCAATAAAGGTAAGAATGCTAAGTATTGCTGCTAAACTGCATAAAAATGCTGTGAATTGTTATGCATAATGTTTTGCAATTTGTAGAAAAAAACGAACTTTTTTGTTTGATCACTTAATAAATTTGTGTTTAATGTTGCAGGTCACCTTTAAAGAGGAACATATTCCATTTTTACATTTCTTGACCAATGTTTGTGCAATTATCGGAGGTAAATCACTTACTTGTACTATTACATATTCACTTATTATACCTATACATTTGAGATTTTTTCCTTCTCATGCAACTAACTGATTAGAGATGGATTTAAATATCTATGCATAGGGATATTCACAATTGCTGGAATAGTGGATTCGTCAATATATTATGGTCAGAGAACAATAAAGAAGAAGATGGAGATTGGAAAATATAGATAGGGGGAGTCAGGTCACAACATCCTTCCTACATGAATGCTCTAATGTTGCGGTTGAATCAGCTCATGACTTGTGCTTGGTTGGTTTGTCGGTGCATGCGCGTTGCAATATAACGCCACGATTTAGCAGAGCCGTAGATTCAGTTGATCAATGAATTGCATTTTTTGGAACTTGATGATAGCAGCTCTAGCCATTTTCATGTATTTTGAATCATTTGTGGTCGTTAAGTTATAATCCAAATATTTTATGTCCCTTTCCTATCTTTATTAAATTTTCAAAAGGTGTAGAAGCGGTGTATTGGAATGAGATTTGAAGAAAATTTGCAGGATTATACTACTATCTTTTTTTATATGTTTGTCTTAAAATTAAAAAATTTCTGTTTGAAGGATTTTTAATATTTGAAAGAAAATAACTTTTTCACAAGAGTTAGATAAATTAAAAAAATTCTAGAAATAAAATCATTCTATAAATATTAAATTAAATTAAAATGTTATAGAAAAATAACTTTAGTAGAAATATACATGATAGAAAATTTTAAAAAATATATCATATCATGAACATAAAAGTAAAAAAGAATAAACGAATAATATAATAGTATAAGACATGAAAATAGAGTTTTGAGGGAGTGAACATATTTTTTTGAGTGAGATGTTTGGAATGTGTATTTTAGAAGAAGTTATGCAATTTTCCTTTTTTGTTGTTGTGAGAAGTCACTAATATTTATTTCGAAACAGTTATAGTGATATTAAATATTTAAAAAGTCAGCAATTTTAAATTTTATTTATAAAAAGTTGGTTATTATTATTATAAATATTTGTGTTTTATTTTTGGTGAATATTTTTACCTTGTTTTCTTTAGCTTTTTAATTTTATTTAAAACGATCATGAATAATATTAAATAAAATAGCTTTAACAATTTTAATCATTAAGACTAGGATGGCAATTGGATTTAGATTGAATTAAATTCATCTATTTATAATATTGATTAATCTAAGTCATCCAACATATCCAATAAATTATTTTTTACCTCTATTAAACTTAACTTAAAAAAATAATTTTTTTTCGAAAATAAAAAATATCATTTTTTTTTGAAAATACAAAAATTTGATTTTTTATTCAGAAAATAAAAAAATAAAAAAACCGATTTTTTTTAAAAATAAAAATTTAATTTTTTTCACAAATATATAAAAAAAATTTCAAAAATAAATAATCGATTCTTTTACAAAATACAATAATTTTTTTTTCAAAACACAAACAAATTTTTTGAAAATACAAAAATCATTTAAAATATATATATATATATATATATATATATATATATATATATATATATATATATATATATATATATATATATATATATATATATATATATATATATATATATATATATATATATATATATATATATATATATATATATATATATATATATATATATATATATATATATATATATATATATATATATATATATATATATATATATATATATATATATATTTGGAAAAAAATTGGTTTTTTCAAAAATAAAAAGTTTAATTATTTTTTAAGAAAATTAATTTTTCTAAAAATATAATTTTATTTTACAAAAATACAAAAGAATAATATTTTTTGATGGATGAATATCCATACACTAAAAATATGTTAATGAATGGATTGAATTAGATATACTTTTTAAAAAATTTAGTAAATTATTAATAAATTAATTCATTGTTTTAATCCATCCATATCCATCTAATTCATCTATTTTACCGTTCATTATCAAAAAGATTAAAATTTTTACATCAGATTTAAATAAAATACCTTTAACAGTTTTAACAATTAAAAACTTTGAAAAAATTATATTGAAATTGATAAAACCTACTATAATCAACTAAATAGTGATTGGTAAGGTCCAAATAGTTTTTAACAATGTCTAATTAAGTCTTAAATTTAATTATAGATTTGATCTCTCTTTTATTATATTCTTTAATTTTGTATCCCTCCATGTAAAATTCGTTTTCATGATATAACAACTGATGTGATGATGTGGCATGGTGTAAATGGCAAAAATAAAATTACACTTTATTAAATAAGTAATTTTTATTGTATAATAATATAAATCATCATATTTATATATAAAAAATAAAAATACATTAATTAAATTATATTAAAATTTTAAATATTAATTTTTTATTTGAAATAATTATTTTATTATTTTAATTATATTTATTTATTTTGAAAATTTAATCTAAAATTCAGGTAATTGGACACCAGATATCGAGTATTGATGTCACGACACTAGGGTCCGGACAGAAATACAACACAAACAATTATACAGTTGGTTTAAATGATTGAAATTAAATAACAAAAATCAATTGTTAATCCAGTTCGGTGCAACGTCACTTGCATTTGGAGTGCTACCAACCCAGAAAAGAAATTCACTATAATAGTATTAGTCTGAAATTCTAAACAACCTCCGATTTTACAAACTTCACACTTAATAACTATCCGTGCTATTTTTATCTAAGATATTCTTAGATATTGATAAACATGAGAATGCTATCATAAAGTTTATATAAAAAATATTCTTTTATATTTTGACTTTATATTTTGACTAGTGCAGACATTTAAAAAACAGATAAATAGTGACCATCTTGGATATTGATTATTTATAAATAATTTATAAAAGTGGAGTTCAAACCCCCAAAACAAACTCCTGTGAGTAAAAAAGAGATAGTATTTTTTGCACTCTAAATGTTTCTAGTATACCATGTGAATTTTCACAAATGCCCCATATTTTTAAAGATATATCTCCGAATACATCCCAACACACACTCAACAAAGGTCATTCTGAGTGACATTCTTTATTTTGATTTAATATCTCCGAAATATTTTAGTAGTTACATCTCCAGAGACACACCAATATCAGATTCAATAGAAAAGTAAATTTGCAAAATTAAATTGACATTCATAACATAAAATAAGCATTATAGTGATGATTTCAACATAAATTGCAATATTACATTTCAATATCTCGGTGGACTCTTGCACATCTTCAGAATATCTTCGACCAATCTTGAAACTGTCGCTTCCAACTCGAGTGAAACTTTTTCTTCAAAACGGAAATACGTATTCCACATAGCCCTTACATCTTCTTGCGTCTTGAGCTCAAATTTGTTGAACTCAATCTGCCCTTTGTCGTCAATCGACGGTGAATGATACTCGAGCTTCACAATCTTTCAATTCTCTAGGGTAAGAGATATTGGATTTCGTCTTTGATATCATCGAGAAAGGTGAATTCGGTGAGTTTGAACGTTCACCCGGATGTAGAGTCGGAGAAGGAGACATTTGCGACATACAAATATATATTTATTTGTGACATTTGAGACATTTTCAATTTGTGTGAAATATAACATAAGAACACCTAAATTTATATAAGCCATATATCAATTTGGACCACTCATTAACTGGTAGATTTATTCTGGAGATATATCTCTGGAACTGCACCTTATTATCTTGTTCTAGAGATGCATATTCGGAACTTATCCTGAACCATTTTGAAAACAGAACACTATAACATAACCATTTTTTTCATTGTAAAAAACACATGTTGTTACGGGGTAGACAAAAAATGCATAAAGACAAAATATGAACAAAAGGTGAATATATAACACTTCATTTATATTGAGACACAATTACATACAGTTATTTGTCCGGTTAAACAAGAAACTAAACTGAATAGAAACATGTGTCGCCACCTAAATCTATAGGTGGAGCCCCCTTGGACTTTTGTGCATTTGATTCTTTTTCAATGTTGCTCAATCTCTCGAATTCTTGCATCCTTACCATAAAATAATTCGGTCAAGTCTCGATTTTTGTGGTTGAATGAGTCGTCTACTCCAGTAATATAAGTGGTATAGGGCATCCCGATTTCAATTAAACTTGAACAAAATGACTTGATTTTGAAAGTCACCAAATACACATGATTCGATCATTTGAATTTTGGGGTGGTGCCGTGCGCACTGGGAAAAAGGTTTCTGAAAAACCGTAGCGTTTTAGGTTAACACACGCTCTATCATACGCACATGATATTAGGTGACTCATTTCCGAGAAGCGCATCCATTTTGCCTTCGGTGCCAAACCGCTTAAGCAAGGAACAAGAGACTCATAAACCGCGTCAAAATTTTCTTTCTTTCCGTACAACCGCATGTACGATTCTTTATGCGCCTTCAAGTCTTGGATAAAATGATGACAAACAAGTGTATGACTATCTTTTCCTTTACTGAGTAAAGCTGAAACAACTCTGTAACAACAAAAACCGTCCCCCACAATATTGACGATCCACTCGATATGTTTGTGCGTAAAAACCAACATCTCATCGATGAATATAATCTTCGGTGCAAGCGGCGTCAGAGGTAGTTTGCTAATGCGGGCTCCTTTCACAACATTTTTTTTTTTGAGATTTTGGAGTCGGTGAGTCGAAAAAAACTTTTTCAACATGTCCAAAATATGAAGGAGATCGTTTAGTCGAGTTTTTATTTGGCGTAGGCTTCATTTTCTTCGGAGCACCTTTTATTTTTACCGGTTGAGAAGGCAGTTTCATGTTGGTGGTTTTCGGATAGACAATCTTCCTCAATTGTTCTTTGATGTGGAGTTTCATGTTGTCACCGGCCTTCAAAATCTCTCTTGTATGACTTCTCATTCGGTCAAAATAGAGATATTCGATTTACCGTCATCCATGCATCCATCATCATAAAACCTAAGTCTCTTCCAATGAGTGCAAGCCCCGTCCATTCTTATTGGTTCACCAAGTTTTACTTTTAACAATAACACAAGCACATGGGAGACCATATATTTTCACAATAACGCATCCACAATTTGCCCTATCGGAGTCTAAATTATCAACTCGTTTAGCCTCATGAGAAATATAGTTTAAACACATCCGAGAAATGTTGCCAACCAACTGAGAATATAAAGTCTTGTCTTTAAATCTGTGTTCCAAAACTTGATGCTCCGACC